GTAATGCCATGGCATTCTACTGAGGGTAACATGGTGAGACTCTCAAAAAAAAAAAAAAAGGAATGTCAGATTTCTCTAGGTAATAAAGTGGGCAGGAGAAGCCCAGGAGAGAGAACATCATGAGGTATGGCATTGAGATAGAATGGTACACAGGCTACTTGAGGAATAGTAAGGCGTTCCCTGTGAGTAGACCCTGGCAAGAATGGTAGGCAGGGGCTTGTGACAATACTAGGGTGGTTGAATTTTTGTGTGTGTGGGAAGTGTTGCATTGACAAGGATATTTGACCAAAAGGGACCTGATTGCTTTGTCAGTAGTGTGACTGCTGGGAAATGAGCGGTAAGCTTCAGGAAAGGCAGTCTAAAGATTTCCAGTCATATAGATAAGAGATATTGATGTGAAAACAGATATGAAAATAAAGGGAGCAATTTTGGAAACATTGTACAAATGGATATGTCAGACTCCAATCTGGATATTCCAGTTTCAAAGTCCTTATCTCAAAGGGGATGGCATAAGCTCTGGCAGTGGTGAGGTCACTCAGGAAGAGTCCAGAGAAAGGAAACCAGAGGGAAGCTCTGTGGGGTATGTGAATCCTCAGATTTAAAAGAAACGTTTCAAACCTGTTATTAAAAGATGAGGCAAACTATGTCCTTGGAATTAAGCAGTTTGTTCAAGTTAATACCTAAGTTATAACATTAACTCCCTAGAACCCGTATGCCCCAACTTGGAACTCAATGCATTTTCTATTAGTTTATGCTCCAGATTTCAGTTGAATGCTAAATGTGAAAAATATTATCGACCACCTTTCCCATTCTTATCTACTCTGATAAAATTAAATTTGAACTCCGACCCCTTTACATAAATCAAAATATCTTCTATCTCATGTGCTTATAATTACCAATAGCAAAGAAATTTTGACTTTGGAAAATACCAAGCAAGCCTTGTATATGGATGCCATTTAAAATTATATTGTGTGATATGGACTGACTGTAGAAGTTATAAGAAGCATAGTTAAATCTACTTTATTTCAAAGGCAGTAAGCTAATATTTTACATTATGAAATGTTTTTATGTCCTTCATGTAAAAGATTTTGCGCAAATAAGCCAAACCAAACGATTTCATTATAGTTCTATAGATGTTGTTGCTATTAATATAGTACTCTTCTATGGCCATGTGCCAAAAGTATGGTTTGAAATTGTTACCTCTTTTTTTTTTTTTTTTTTTTTTTTTTTTTTTGAGACGGAGCCTCAAGCTATCCCCCTGGGTAGAGTGCCATGGCATCACGCTCACAGCAACCTCCAACTCCTGGGCTCAAGCGAGTCTCCTGCCTCAGCCTCCCAAGTAGCTGGGACTACAGGTGCCCGCCACAACGCCTGGCCATTTTTTGGTTGCAGCCATCATTGTTGTTTGGCGGGCCCGGGCTGGGGATTCAAACCCGCCACCTTAGGTGTATGTGGCTGGTGCCTTAGCCGCTTGAGCCACAGGCGCCGAGCTGAAATTGTGACCTCTTAATTATCAAGTAAAATACTTATCCTTAAAGAGGGAGGCCTGAAAAGAAATGAAACTTTGAAATATAGACCATCTAAAAAACCAAGTGTACAATGGAGCCTTTTTCAGAACAGTATCATCCTTGCTTAATTACAGAACTTATGGATTTTATGATGTTTTTGGCTGGAAGAACCAAGCCATTATTAGTGAACTGTTTGTAACTGAAAAACTCTGATAAAGATCAGCCGATCACACTAGCAGAGCACTGTAAATACAAAGAGTTGATGCCCATGTCTAGATAATCAAACATTTCTGTTCTTAGAAAATGTATTTTAGCCATTTGAATATAGCACGATAAATGATCTTATTAGAATTCTCATATGGGGATTTATAGCCTACCCCAAAAGATCTGAAATGTAATTTTAAATTGCCATATTATAGCAAAGAGGTTACAGAAAAATAAAGGGTTTTTTAGTTTTGATTTTCCTTTGCTTAGTTTTTTCTTAAGCTTATTTTATGAAAGTATAATCAACACATAGAAAAGTGTTTCCTGAGTATACCACTCAATGAAGCTTCATAAATTAATACACCCACTTGTCCAGCACCCAGATTTAGACAAAACATCACTGGCCCTTCAAGATCTACCATCCTCATATTCCTTCTAGTAAATAGGTACCACCCCAGAGTTAAGTACTTATAAATAGTTCTCCATGTGCCTCTCATGTATCTGTACATCTTCAGAGCAGAGGTACTGACTACCAGTGTTCAGATTATCTTTTTAAGGAAGTTTATGTGAACAGTCTTAAAAGATGTGTCTCCCGTCAGAATAAAGGGCAGATTTGCTTAGTCTTGAAAAATAGATTTCGTCTCTTACACAGTAAAAGATGGTTTTACTTACTATTCAGTATAATGTCTCCCTCCAAAGCAAAGGTGGCCAGCATGTTAACTGTCCATTATAAAAGATTCAGATTCCCTAAACTCTAAGAGTTCCTTTCCTATACTGCAATCCACTGTGTGCAGGTGTCACGTGGCTTTCTTTATGTTGGCTTGTGAGAATCAGAACTCAGGAAACTAGTGCCAATACTGACACTCTATTGAGTTGTAAGGTCCTTTGCCTCTGACCTAGAATTCATTAACTAAGAAGGCCAACTTGCTAGCTTACAAGGAAGCTAAATCTCAGACACTTCACCATTCTTGGTAGTAACCACTATTCTGACTTCTACTATAGTTTTACCTGCTCTTACACTTCGTATGTAAGAAATTACCTAGAATGTACCTTTTTGTGTCTAGCTCCTTACATTCAACATTATTTGTGAAATTCATTCGTTTCTTTCTCATATTATTCCATTTGTAGATATTTTTTCTATTGATGGACACTGAGGCAGCTCTCAATGTCAGCTATTACAATTGTGCTGTTATAAACACTTTTAGGGATGTCTTTGGGTGAATGTATGTATAAACTGCTATTGGGTATATTCCCGAAACTGGATCAGAGTGTTTAGACAGATACCATCAAACAGTGTTCTAAAGTATTGGTACCAAGCTACTCTCACCAGCAGCATATGAGCCTTCTGGTTTGTGTACTTTTTAATACTTATTTTCTATCCTTTTTGTTTCATTTTTTCAGAGTGACACACTCTTACTTTATAATCATTCATTCACATAATGAAAGAAAAATACACCAAAGGTATACTTCCAACTTCACAGAACAACACACAAGTATTTTTGATGTTTAGGAAAAGAGGCACATCAATTACTAAGTTGTTACTAGGGCAAATTATCAAGTAAGACAATCAGAGCCACAAATTTTTTGTAGGTTTTTTTTTTTTTATCCACAAACACAACAATTTCCAAAGTCTTCAGAGTCTGACAAGACCAAATTGTTCAAATAAAAGTTTTAAATGATATGGTTTTAACAGAAAGAAGAACAGGCTGAATATTTATGAATATTCACATAAGTTTCTATAATGTAAGAAAAGATTCCTAGCCTTCCAAATGTTCCTAATTAAAAGCAAAAGAAAACTTGTACAACTCTATCTTCCCAGTAAGCAGAAACAGAGAAATTCGATTTTACTAAATACTATTGAAGATAAGGGCACAGTATTTATCTTCCACATAAAATAAGGCTACATGAAAAAAAAAAAACAAAAACTAAAGGCCTATTGTTCATGCTGCTTCAAAGAACTCTTCTCTGGGAAACATATTTAACACTCCAACCACCTTTAATTTTTCCATCCCATTCTTGAGAAAGGTATTTTTCCTCCCATCATCACTAACAATAAGTACCCCTTCCTCTCAGCCAACCTAGTCTTCTAGGACCAGTTTTCCCCTGGCTCACTTCTGCCTCATCTCTGTTTGTTCATGTTTCCTTGCTTAGGGAACCCACCACAATCTTTTCAGTTCTTGCATCGCTTCTGAACTGGAAATCACCTTTCATTCCTTCTAGCTCCTAAACCCTCTAGGCATTGCTAAAGTGGGGTGAGGTGCGAGGAAGAGAGAAGAGTGGGCAGTAAGAGCTCTGGCAGTCTGTTTTACAGAACTTCTTTGCTTTTGGAAATGATAGAGCAAGTTAATCTAAAAAGCCTGCAGTTGCAGATGTTTCTGGGATTTTTTTTTAAGAGGGAGAGAAAAGAAAGCATACATCCACCCTGGCATTTAATTACTCAGGATCAAGAAAGGAGGCAAATAAAGGTACAGAGATTTTGTGTGAATTCCCTGGTTGCAGCTCTGAAAGCCTGGTACTTGGTATAAACACCATCAATACCTTGTCCAGACCATAGGCCACCTGCCTGACAGGAGGGTTTGTGGCTGATAATGGTAAGTGTGGTGGTGGTGGTAAGGAATCAAGAGGTCTTTTTATGTGTTGGCAGAAAACCTAGGTCTGCTACCACTTCTGGAGATCCTTGTTTACCAAACCCAGAAAGTGGTGCTGACAATAGTCTGCAACAGGTTCATCCAGCAGGCAGCAGCCTAATGGGGTGGGCATGGCCACCAGCAGGCAGCAATAGAGGACCAGAGCAGTGGGAAAAGCAATGGAGTCACATAAATCACACAGACCAAGTGGCCTGCTGCTTCTCTCCCTTGACTCTGCAAAGGCGCCCTGTGCCTGTACGGCTGGATACAGAGCAGGGTGGGAATAATAAGATTCTAGACACAGCTAGAAATCAGGGTGGTAGTAGCCATATCAGAGGCCCTGGGAACAAGGAGGGGTCCAAATACTGCATATAGATGCAGTGCCGTCTACAGCACAGCATCGTGTGCCTGGCTTTGAAAGGTGTGACTAATAGCAGGCAGCATGTGATGTTAATACAGCATAGCATAAAGACCATGTGGGAGTGGAGTAGCATGGCCAGGAAGGTCTCAACATTGAGGTTGAGAGATAGAAAGTTTAGAGGAAAGGAGGTACAGAAAAGTCAGCACAAAAAAAAGTAAAAGGCATACTCATTGTTGCTGCCCGACCACAGGTCCCCAGAGGGTCGGGAACCTCATGTGGGAGTAGTCCCAAGTGCAGAGGTTAACCAGACTGAAACCCGAAGGGCCTGGGGATCTCCACTGGCTCCCTTATCTGGAGATGTCCAACTCCACGCGCCCCTTCCCGCCACAAGTAGTACTGCAGTGGATTTGGCCACAGGTCTTCTTTGATAATCTCGGCAATCCTGTCGGACTCTGGAAGGCTGTGGTCTGAAAACCACGTGAAGAAGCTACAGACGACATCTTGGTTCCTCCCGATGAAGGAATGGGGTTCATAGCCCTCGCGCCATAGGATGGGAGTTGAAAGAGACATCACTTGGCCAGAGACTCTGGCTTCATACTCCTTGACGAGCAGCTTATTTTTGAAGTAGGGGTTTCTTCTAAAGAAGAACTTGAACTTGCAGCCCATCTTAGGGCGTCTGAGCTCCTTCACCTCCAAATTGGTTATGTACCTTAGCATCTCGGCATCTTGGCCCCTAATCATGGGAGAGAGCTGTGGGTGGTTGCGGATAGCATTGAACCAGAAGCCTGGGATATTCTGTATGATGTAGTTTCTCTGCTCCAGGTAGTACTGACGCATCCGCCCAAACTTGCGCTCCAGCTGGAGAAAGGCCCTGTTGGCCTGAGCATTCACTTGGTCCAGTTCCACCTGGATGGCCTCCAGGGGGTTCAAAACGGGGTCCACATTCCGGGGCTGGGGTTCCGCCACCTCTTTCACCTCATCTACCCCTTTGTTTTCTTCCACCACTTGCATTTCTCCACCTACTGGCTTCGCATCCACTGCCACTGAGAGGGTGGTCCACTTCTCAGTCTCCGAGGCCTTGGCCTTGGCCATCACCTCAATCCTCGAACTCCCTGAGTCACAGGTTTCTGGAGTCTTCTCCCCACCCGGGCCTCGCCTCTCCCCACTCTGGAAACCATTTTTGAGGCTGCCGTCAGTTGTCATGAAGGCAGAAGCTGCTTCCAGGCCCTCCTTAGGTGGTGGCGCCACTTCTTGTCCCGCTTCGGTGGCTTGGAGACTGTGATCCCCATTGACTAGGATCTGGAGAGTATGACAACAGTCTGCAGGGTCCTGGGGTGCGCCCACCTCCTCTCCTGGAAACTGGGGCAGTGAGAGCGCAACAGGCTCCAAGCTGCCCTCACCCGTGTCTGCCATTACCTGCGTGGCCTGGCCCTCTTCTCCGGGCTTTGGGCACTAGTGTGAATGTGAATCTTCCCGGTCACAGTCAGGAGTAGTGCGGCCACAGGTTTGGGGGGAAAGGGGTCCTGTCGACCCCACCCAGGACACTCCTGTTGGTAGCAGGCAGACCGACAGTGGTAGCGTATGGTTTGCTTTCCTCACAAAAGAGGCCGTCTCTCACGCAAACTGTTTGCTCACCCCCCTCCAGTCTCGCGACATCTCCCTCCAGTCTCGCGACATCCCCTCCTCAGTCTCGAGACATCCCCCCTTAGTCCCATGACATGCCTCCTTTGCCCCTTAGTCTCACAACATCCTCACGTTTTCTCCCCGTCCCCTTAGTCTCGCAGAGTCTACCCTTAAATCTCGTGAGAGTTTGTCGCTGGGCTGGTTCGTCATATTTTGGATGTGTTGGTGGATGTGTGATTGTATCGCATGTGGTTTAAATTTAGCCAAAGTCTGATGAATTGAGAACCTTTTCTCGTGTGTCTGTCTGTCTGTCTCATTTGGATATCCTCTTTTGCATGCAGTGTCCAAGTCTTCTCCCTAGTTTTCTATTAGGTGTTCTGTCTTTTCCATAATAACTCATAGGGATCCTGTGTACATGTTAGATACTAGTCTTTTTTCAGATCTATGTATTACAAATATCCTGTACCACTCTGTGAGTCACGTTTTCACTATCTTAACGGTGTCTTTTGAGGAACAAAAGTTTTTAATCTGAATATATTCCAATTTATCATTTTCTCCTTTAGCTTAGTGCTTTTTGTACCTTGTTTAAGGAATTTTGTCTCTCCAAGATCTTTCAAATTTTTATCTGCCATCCATCTGGAATTGACTTTATCTGGGTAAATGTGTAATTTGATGCAGTTATGTTTATTCTTTCCCTATTAAAAGGTTTTTAAATGCTTCCATTAAAAGTGACACATGTCATTACCAGAGCCAGTCAGTCGACCTTGCCTAACTTTAAGGAGACAGGGAGATGTGATTTGCTAGTAAGCCTGGACACAGAAAGAAACTGAAAATATTGGCAAGTGCTGTATCACTCATCACAAAACATAACTTGAATAATATATAAAAGATCAAAAGAGGCCAAAGAAAGCAAAAGTAATGATAAAAAGGAGAAATTTATGAAAGACAGTGTAGAATATCAACTGAAGACTGATAATTAGAGAATGAATAAATAATATTTGGAATGAAAAATATAGTCACAGTAGTGATTTAAAGAAATATAAGAAAACATGTTGGACAGCTTTATGCCAATACATTGTCAAACTTAGATGAAATATTTGAATTCATAGACATGAGTAACTCATCAACACTGACTGAAATGCAATAGAAAAACCTAAATAGACCTAGAAATAATAAATAAATTGGATGAGGGAATTGAAAACAAAATCATTCCACAAAAATAACATGAGGTTCAAATGATTTTGAGACAGATACTACCAGACCTTCAAGGAACACATAATACATCTTTTATATTTATTAGACATTCAACAAATATTTATTGTGTTCCTGCTGTGTGCCTGGCACAATCTCATATAATCTTAGAGTAGTGTATCAGTGAACAGAACCAAGATTTCTTCCCTCTTGCAGTTTATATTTTAGTGGATGAGGAAGGCAATAAATGATAACAATAACAAGTAAACAATATAGTATATTAGAAAGCTATAAGTGCTGTGGGGAAAAAAACCAATAGAATAAAGGGATTGAAAGTTTGAGGGGCGGGGGGGAGCAGATTATAGCATTAAATAGGATGGTCAGAGGATACCTCATTGGGAAGATGAGATTTGGCAAAGATTTAAAGAAGTTGAGGGAGTTAGCTAAGTAGAAACCTTGGAGATTAGCAGTCTAGGAAAAGAGACGAGTTAAGCAGAGGCCCTGAGAGAGGAAAATTCCTGGGGTGTTCAGGAAACAACAAGGAGACCAATGTGGCTGGAGCAGAGGGAATGAGGGAAGCTAGATTAAGTATGAACTTATATGATACTGTAAGAAATTTGCCTTTTTTTTTTTTTTTGGTGAAATGCGAAACCCCTGTAGTATTTGAGCAAAGACACAAAATCTGACTTAAATTTTAGATGGATTACTCTGGCTCTTGAGTGAAAAATAGACTGTGTAGGAGCAATGGGAGAAGTAGATGCTGGATCAATGCAGGACCATGAGCTAAATAAACCCCCTTTTCTTTATAAATTATCTAGTGTCAGGTATTCCTTTATAACAAAGGAGGAAAACAGACTAAGACATCAGCTGGGCATTATAAGTTTAGAGCTCATGAAAGGTTTGAGGCAGGGATACACACTTTGGAATAATTAGCTTCTTGGTATTTTCATCCAAAAGGCTGGATGAGATCACTATGAGAGTAATGATGAACTGAGTTCTATGGCCTCCCAAACTACAAGGTCAAGAAGAAGAAGAAAAATTAGCAAAAGAGAGAGACCGGTGAGATAGGAGGGAAACCAAGAGAATGCAATATGCTGGAAGCCAGACACATTCTGGAAGGTGTTCAGCCTTGTCAGATGGTGCTGATAGGTCAAGTAAAATGAGATCTGAGGATTAATCATTGGATTTTACAACAAAAGAGTCACTGGTGACTTTTTAAAAAAAAAAAAAGCGCTTTCAGTGGACAAAGAGAATGAGAGGAAGGAAATTGGAGACAGTGAAAACTGACAATTCTTTTAAGGAATTTTGCTTCAAAGGGAAACAAAGAAATGGGGCAATAACTTGACAAAAACAGTTTTGGTGAACTGGTGGGGCAACAGTTTGGTTGGAATAAGTTCAAGAGAAAATGAGAAGGGAGAAAGTAAAAACAGCATGCATACATAAATCTTTTAAGAAATTTTGCTTCAAAGAAATGGGATGAAGGATGGTGGGGAAGTGAGTCAAAGGAAACATTTTTAAAATGAGAGAAGTGTGTGCATGTGTTGATGTGAATAATCCAACAGGAAGCAAAAACAAATGATGTAGGAGAATTACTGGAGGGGTGTCCTTGAGTAGATGAGAAGAGATGGCATCTGGTGCCCAAGTGGAAGAGAAGGCGTTGGCTTTAGCTAAGAGTATGAGAAGCTCACCAGTGGTAGCTGATAGGAAGGCAAATATGAAGGTGTGGATGCTGGTAGGTGGGTGGAAGTGAGGGTGAGAACTATGAAGTTCTCTTCTAGTTGCTTTAATGTCCTCAGTGAAATAGAAAGTAAGACTGGCAAATGAACATGAGGATGGGGCAAGTGAGAGTCTGAGGACCCAGAAAAAGGTATGAAATAGTTGTCTGGAGAGTGTAAGAGTGACTAGACTGTGACCTCAGCTGCAATTGTCAGACAACAGTAAGGTCATGAATTTGAAGTGAGGCTCATCGGCCTGGTCGCAAATTTTTCTCCAGCCATGTTCAACTTAACAAGTGTGGCATGAATAGACAGAGTTGGATTTAGTCAGAGCTGAAGGGAGAGGGGCAAAAGAATGATTGAAATAATTGATCTTAGAATTTAAGCTAGAGGAACAAAGGACATATAGAAATGAGGTCAGTGAAAGGTGGTCTGATCACTGAACTGGAAGACCCAGGGTATTGGAGGGTCACGGGGTTAAGTACCTGAAGAGTCAGCTACTAGAATGCAAGAGAGTGGTCTGAGAGTAGCCTGCAGGGTATTGGTCAGAATCCCATTTTCCATCTAAATTGGGCTGTAATGAGCAGATTAAGGACAAGGTCATTGCAGAGGAGGAGGTCAATGAACCAAGACCCAGGAGGGGAAGGATAGCCTATGTGTATATTGAAATCACTTCAAGGTAAGACCAGAGAGAAGTGAGAATGAGCCAGGAACTAAAATCCTTGAGACATGAAGGGGAATGATGTGGAGATAGCACAATGCAGGGCAGTGGGTATGTCTGCTAGAGCCAAGGTGGAGAACCACCATCTTTGGATAAAAGGGTATCTTAATGTCACAACCCCTGTAGTATACTATTTTCACTCCTTCAAAGTGCCTGGGAGAAGGGTGAATATATGTATATTAGTTGATTAAACGTAGGGAATGGATATTTTTTTAAATTGGAAGATGAGTAATAATATTCCTTGAGTTCTATGTGAAATATTTTCTTTTGGGATTCCATGCTGCTTGTGTCCCAGGGTATGGACTAGAAACTACTGAAAAGAACAAAATACAATTTGAACTTTGAGGCCTGAAATATTTTGGCTGTAAATATATTTTTTAAGGGAGAAGATATCTAGTCAACTAGAGGCAGAAATGGAGATGTGGAGAGAAAGTGAAAGGAAAATAGAGGGAGAAAAGGAGAAGGGCCGGGGGGGGAGAACGATTAAGGGAGGAAAAAAAGATGGCTCTTGGCTTGGCACCTGTCGAATAGTGGTTACAGCACCAGCCACATACACCAAGGCTGGCAGGTTCCAGCCCAGCCCAGAGCCTGCTAAACAATAATGATAACTGCAAGAAAAAAATAGCCGGGCATTGGTGAGGGCACCTGTTGTCCCAGCTTCTCGTGAGGCTGAGGCAAAAGAATCACTTAAGCCCAAGAGTTTGAGGTTGCTGTGATCCCACGGTACTTTATTGAGGATAACATAGTGAGACTCTGTCTCAAAAAAAAAAAAAAAAAGAAAGAAAGAAAGGAAAGAAAAAAGAGAAAGAGAAAAAAAGAGAGAAAGAGAAATGGCTTCTTGGCAAGAGTACAGTTTAGCCACAAATCTGAAAATCATAGAATTGTAAAGTGCTTACATTCCCTGGGAAACAGAAAAAGTATGTTTTAAAAGGTAAACTTAATACCATAAGATAAATGAAGACAGCCTGTGTATTGTATAGTCTATTTTCCTTTGACTCCTCAAATATTATTTTGCAGTTCTTGTTTTGAAAGTGATCCCTCACTCTTAAATTCTTTAAACAACCTTGTTTGTATAGTGATTGAACATGAACTATTGTTCTTAGGATTAGACCACCCAGCTTAGAAAGCTGAGGGTCTCAATACAATATGCTACTTGCTTATGACTCAAAAGAATATTGGAAAACAAGGGGAGATGTACATCCTTGTCAATTTCCCCCTTTTCCTGTAGAAAGTCTGTCAAACTGTGTTTGCAAAGGGAATGATCAAAAAGAGGTTGCAGTTGTCTTTATTGCTTCTTTGAAATAGCATTAAATATAGTAAAGTGAGGAAAAAATGTTTTGAGTTACCAGGATATGGGTAATGATTTACCCTGGGAGAGTTAATGAATTATTCATTTTCTACTAATATAGGGCTCATAGAAAGCAAATATACATTATTGTGCCTCATGAAACTAACTCTAAGACGCTAAAAGGTCTACGTAGAGTCCTGACCTGGCTCCAGAGCCTTCGGGCCAGATGGAAGGTATGAACAAAAGGAATTTAGAGAAAAGAGTCTCTGTCCAGAGAACAGTTTGCAAGGCAAGA